CTCTTTCGGAAGTTCGCTTCTCCTTCCTGCCTCGGCTCTCCCTTTCCATTTTCACACAGTCCTCTCCTCTGCTGATTGTCCGAAGCGGTTCTGTCAGAAGCAGTGTTGCGTTATCGAGCAGAGACTGGTTAATCTACAAAGCTGCCCCCCCCCCCACCCCGCTGCTGGAGCCCAGGCCAGGGGGCAGGGCTGGACCGGAAGGGTCCATCAACGGGTGTGTGCAGGACCGTCAGTGAGGGGAGGTGCGGCAAGGGAGCCCCGGCTGGGGCAGGGAGCTGGGCACTGGGACCCAGGCCCCCCGCCCCGAGCGACCCTGTGCAGGGACCAGAGGGCGCTTGGGCCTCCATTTTCCTTCCTCGTCAGAAAAGCCAGACCCTTCCTTCCTTTTGAGAATGCAAAGGCAGAGGATGGTGACGACAATAACTGGTGCCGACAGACCAAGGGTCAAATGCGGTCCTTGGGCGTTTTCCCTGGAAACACACCAGTTTTGATGTCCAGGGGGCAGAGGAGGACCCACGAGGATGTGTAAGGGGAGGATCGCCGTGCTGGCCACGCTGGCGAATCGTGTCCCTTCTACGTCTTCCCATCCCCTCTCTGCCCAGAGCCATCATACTGGGCCGCATGAGCTGGACAAAGCTGGACAATGTGCTCATCCTCACGGAGCAGCCTGTTTTCCCACCCCAAGGAACTTGTTCCCGCCCAGCTGCAGGTTCCTTGCATACATTTGGTTTCCGAGGTGTGACGCCTTTCAGCAAGTCTGTAGAGCCATGGCCCCAGTGAGAGAGACAAAGAACATCTCAGGAGCAACACCACCGCCCCCGTCTTGGAAACCAGTGAGGAGACCCTACTAACTCCTTTCCCTAAAAAACCACAACCAGAACACGGAGCCCTTCTTTAGGTCATTCACCTGGAAACCAGAGGTTGCAATTATTCCTTGTGAGATCAGTCATTTACAGAGGGGGTGCTCTGTTCTTTTTGTTACATTAGTTATGTCTTCCTCGTGTATTTCAAACTAAGAATGTTTGGAGATCCTGGCCTCGACCCCTCAGAATGACAAATGGGATCGGAAAGGAAAGGAAAGGAAAGGAAAGGAAAGGAAAGGAAAGGAAAAAAAGAAAGAAAGAGAGAAAGAAAGAAAGAAAGAAGAAAGGAAAAGAAAAGAAAAGAAAAGAAAAGAAAAGAAAAGAAAAGAAAAGAAAAGAAAA